AGTGCATCCTAGTATTAAAAAAAACCTAACAAATGGAAGGATAATTAGTAAATTAGCAGTATTTGTTGAGTACTTACTCTAAACATCCTGTTCTAAGGGTGGATAATAAATAGTTGTGAGTTAGGGAGAAAAAAGTAAATGAAAATAGCATTTACTTTTGTAAGCTGAGCTTTTAATATTGTCAAAAACCCATAAGCAGATAGTGGCTAAAGTGTTTTTAAAAAAAGAGAGAGATATCTTACTCAGAAACTATGATAATAAGGGAAAAGAGAGCTCAGTATAAAATTGGGTTTCACACTAAATTCAGCAAAGGTAACTGCAGATCTACAGCTAAGGACTACCTGGACATTGCTAAAAGGAAATATCAAGGGTAGGAGTGGTTCTTGTTAAAGCAACCTAAGTGGATTCCTGTTGAAAGCAGAGTTGTACACGACATCCTAAGAATGCAGGGCCCCAGCTAACCGGATGTGGCAGGATTCTCGCCCCAGCCGAGGTACCTTTGAGGACAAGGCCCAAAGTGAGATGAAATCGGAGAGGACTCAGAGGAACCCTCTGATGTTCAAGGAGAAAATCTTTATTGAGCAATTAAGGCCTGGCGGACTGAGGTTGCCACTGTTTTCACCCACAAAGGTTTTAAGATACACTAACTTTTTATTGGCTCTGCATTACCACCTTTCTCATTTTTATACCCGGATGACCACCTCATTGACTTGTCACATTTAAACCTGAAGTGTTTTTAAAAGGAGCTTTCCATGGAGCACACATTTGGTCCTGAATTTAAATTATAGGTGAAAAGTTTTTACCATAAAAAGTGCATGCAGGAATTTGTCTCTCATAACAGCTACAGTTCAGATAATATTTTTAATCAGTTAAAATATTTTTGATACAATGAAATATTTTCATTACAGAAAGTGACTCAGGTTGGGCATCTTTTTCTGTATTTCCTTCATCATGGCTATTTAGACATTAAATTAATGGGTGACAGGGCTGTGTCATTTCAGAGGAATAATGACAAATGGCTCCATAGTAGTGACACTGATTCATCTAGATTGTAAACATGTCCATTTCCCTAGGTTTTCACTGGGTTTTGGTATCATCAGTTATCTCTGCATTTAATATTTACTTTACATTTTTCAATCATTTTAAAAGAAATTATCTATTTATAAAACCTTTATTTCTAGATTTCATAAAACATATGCTGTCATTCTAAATGTTTTTGTTACATTTTGTATTTGGTTGTCACTGATGTATAGAAATGCTAGTGCTTTTTATATACTCATGTTTGGATCCTGCAGTCTAGTGAAACTTCTTTCTGGGTACAATATTCTTACTAAAGTAAATTTGGTAAACTCTGCCAAACATAGGTTAAATTTTTTATATGTCAGGCACTTAAGTATCTGATTTTTACATTTTTACCTTCACATGCTATATGATAGGCAATTTCCTTAAGACCATATTTCTGATTCTCTATATAGTTGTATCTAATTGATTAGTTTATATTACATATATACTATACTTGTTTCTTTGCTAAATTAGTTTCTTCTTTTATTGTAATGTATCATTCTATTTTGTAGTATTTTTATTTCTCATATATTATATTTGCTTTTCTTTGTATGTTTTTATGATGATACATTTTAATGTATTTCTATTTTTTATAATTTATATTGTAAAATAGAATGATATAGTTCTAGGTTATATTATTTGCAGACTATTATTTAGCTCTTAGTGTACGGATATTCTGATATCTGTGCCATTGGTTTTCTGTTGCAGTTATTTTCCTCTTGTACATTGTGCTGCTTTATGATGAGCTCGTTTTTAGTGGGAGCCAGGATCCCTCCATCCCCCCTGGGAAATCCATTTGCTTGATTTATGGCAGAATTCTAGCAAATAAAGAGAGGAAGAGTGTCCCCGTTCCCATGGGGCACAGCCTTTTGGGGTCTGAATCTCTTACAAGGCACTAAATTTTCGTGACCTTGATCCCTAAAGAAAAGAATTTCCTAGCTGCCTCTGTGGATCTGTAGGAAAAATTTTCTAGTTCCCTTTTCACGATTAGAAAGAATTTCCAGAGTCCCTGCTTAAGTAAGTCAGTTATAATTTCTCTCCACCAAGTCCAAGGGAAAGCTTTAAACACCCCAATTTTAGTCTCATTCTTAAAACTAAGCCCAGCCTTGTACCCACTTCTCCATAGCACTGATTCCTCGGTTTGCCTGGAGCTTATGTTTTACTTCATTTTCCTTCTCGGGTTGGATGCCTTGAAATGGTCCTTTCTTTCTTGAATCTAAATATGTTTAAATTTATCTGCTTGCTTATCCAGCATAGCTGTGGGTCTGACATAGCGAACACAAGAAATGTGTGTTGTCTTCATCCATTCACTATAACATTTAGAATGTCAGTCATTTAATGCTTGCAAGAGAAAAATTTAATAACAAAGCCTTTAATAAGTGAGACATTTCTTTCTACGAACACTGAAAACTGATTACTGCACTGGCTTAATGGAATAAATGTTCAAATGTGCCTTGGTTAATATATTCATTGGAAATGAATATTTTCACAGATATATTATTTTACATATAACTCCTATTTATTGTTATTCAACATTACCAATTTTGATATCAGTACTATATATACATGAAGACATATTTCTATTCAACTAAATTACTATAATTTCTCTGAGTTTCAGTCACCATTAAAAATTTTGCTTAAGTAGCATTTTAACTTACATTGTTTTTAATGATTTATGTCAAATCATGCTTTCAAGAACAGAAATACTGCTTTCTTCCTTACACTGATAAATGTTGTTTTACTATTTAGATCATATACATACTATGTTGACATACTCATACTTATTTTTCTTGTAAGCAAGAAGTAATAGACTCTTGACTGTAGATTGCATGGACATTGTCATAGAACTCATTATAATATGTTGTTGTACAATCGTGTTAACTCATCTGCTACGTGCAATGTAATTGGTTATTTCTACAATTATATAGATCTTTTAAACATTTGCTTTCCACAAGTTTTTATCCTAGAACAAATTTAAAATGTCACAGTTTTGAGAGATCCTCTTAATGATGGCATTCACTTAATTTTTCAATCTGTTTTATGATTTCTTATTTGCTGTTTATTGTGGCATTTTAATTGTCTGTGTAGAGCTTTAAGTGTCTTTGTGGGATGCCTTTTTCTTACTAGGATCATAATTACTCTCTGTGTAATACTGAGTCAGACAGAGAGCTGGCATTGGCAGCTCAAAGAGCTTCCCCTCCAAATTCTGCTAGAGATAGCTCTCTTGCTCTGTATATAGCTTTCTGGCTGTATTTCCCAAGACAATGAGCAAGATGGGGCTTACCTCCTCCGTGTTGTTACTTTCAACATACTATACATCACTTTTCTCTGCATGGTAGAAATATATAAATGCTTCATTTTTTAATATAATTTCCTATATTCCATAGAATTAGGTAATTTCTTTTCTGTCATGAGCAAAGCTAGCTACTCCTTTATTTGAGCAAATGAAGATTAAAAACACCTGTGGAATTTGGGGGGAAGAATAACACATGCACTGTTTTGGTCCATCTTAGAGATGTGAAGGCCTGCAGGAGTGCCTAAAGACATGTAGGGTAGACGGGGCAAGTGTCCTCAAGGAAACAATCACTCAAACTGCGGTCCAGCCTGGTTCTGTGAGAGCAATTTTTCATTTCGGATAATATTGGAATGAAAAGTACCAAATCTAGAAACTTTACTATATTCCAGTACCTGACAAATCTTCACTATGAGCTCCTGGAATTTCTGCTTACTTGGGTGAACAGTAAGGAGTCCAATATTCAGTCACAGTATATCAACATAGGTACATAAATTGGCACTGTACCATAAATTGGTACAAAATACATGTCTACTTTCTAACTATTACAATATTTAGCTTGATATTTCAGACATCTTTCCCCAATACATATGATACACGTCATTTACACTGAAATGACATATGACAATGTTTAAATTCATATACATATGCATATACAAGTATTAACTATGACCATACAATATTGCAGCTGCCTACATAAGCCTGATGGACTAATAAAAGTAAGATTTCTTTTAGTAAGACCCGTCTATGATTGTAAGCAAAGACCTCAACTATTCTTGTCATTGATATTTCCGTAGAAATACCACATGCTCACTTTTTCAAAGAACTGTTCACTCTCTTGGGTAATGTAGTTATGTGCTAAGCAGAACATTTTCAAACTGATTACCATAAACTTAGGGTGATCATTGTACACTTGTTCATGCCTCTCTGTCTCCTGGATGTGCCTAAGCTGCAGGTGTAATGCATCCCTTGCTGTTAACATGATGAGCTATTAGCCAAGCATGTGCAACAAATGAAATTGCAATTCAAAAATTACTCTGGGGAGGAAATGTAGTCTTTAATCAATTCCGCTAGGCCTTCTTAGCCTTTGGTGATTAAGCAGAAGAGTTGAAAATTGTGAAAATTGTGAGACCTATCTGAATTCTAACTTTAGAGGATTATTTAAAAGTTGAGATGAACATCCTTGAAAAAATTCTTTTAAGAATTAGATGCAAAGAGGTTGTAGATCTGAGTGTTATGCTAAAGAGTTGCCATTTCTTTGGAGATATATATATTATATGATAATATACAATATGTTATACACATAATTAGAATACTATAATAATTATAGTGACAGGTATATCATATATTAGTATATATTATATAATATGTTTAATATATTTTATATCATTTTAACATAATAGACTAGATGGGCAATGGGGAGAAATGTTTTTTGTTATAAAATGATATAGTCTCTCGAGGTGATTTATCTTCTAGATATCTATTGCTTTCAGATAAATGGTAGGTTATTTATAAGTGACTTGATAAAGTGATCCTGATAAATGCTTAAGGACACTTACAGGACAATTCCAGCCAGCACCACAGAGAAGCCTAGGGAAATGACGCACTGTCTTGACACTGAATACTACTGAAATAAATAATGTACCTTGCAGGTACACGGCCCAAAACAAGGGTCCACATTTGTGCTCCCTGAGCCACTGCAGTTGCAGGGTTGGCAGTCTGGATAGCCGGTGTAACCCCTAGCACAGCGGTCACAGCTCACCCCTCCAAAGCCAGCTTTGCAATGACAGGATCCAGGTGCCAAACCTACGGGAAGAGACATCAGGCATCAACAGTCTGAAAATAAAGTTTTACTTCCTAAGGTTTCAACCTCTAATATCTTTTAAAAACATACTTTGACCCAAAAATCTTGATATACATCAAAAAAGTTAAAATTAAAGTGCAAGGAATTTAAATAGACGTTTACCATGTTTACTGACATAGAATATTGTAAGTCACCCGAAGAATATTAAGAACGAAAAGGAAGATGCAATCTTAAATCATCTACAACACTACAGCTACTGTATGGCAAGGCTTTGGAAGAGCAGGACAATACTGAGAGAGTAACTGCCTTAAAACCTACACAGAGAAGAATAAACAGGAACTTGGGCACACCTGCCGGCTCATCAAATGAGTCTCCTCTAACATAATATCTCGAGGCGGGAAAGACCCTTGGAGACACAGGTGTAGTTGTTACCTGGCAATTTAACCATCATAAGCTCAGGGAAATTCCTCTTTAGTATTAACTAGAGGAAAAAGCAAATGCGTTCGTGGGGATGGATATGATAGGTATTAGAAATAGAAGAGGAATATAAATGCAGTTTTAATTTCCTTTGTTAAACAATTATACAAAGAGAAATGTAAAAGAGAATCATTATCCCCATGAACACATTTAGTCTCTTCATCGACAGTACTGTGAAAGATGCTGCCTGCTGGTACTGCTTCTTAAAGATTTTAAAAATTCGAGAAAGAGTAAGACAAATCCATAAAATATAGTCCAGCAGACAAAAAGGAAGGGAGGACAAAAGGAAGGATGCCAACGTGTGGAAGGCATTACACTGAACAGTAAGTCACGGCTGCTTTCTGCAGTAAGCAGTATTTCCATTCCTCGCATAAGCAGGTACTGTAATGTGTAACAGAGATGTGTTAAATGACTGGGAATATTAAAACAAAAGGACATAATTGTGTGCGAAGAAAGTATTATGACAGAATGAAACAGTTATGGTAACCTCAATCAGGGCCATGTATAGATTATATATCAAATGTTTACATTTCCATTAGTAAAGATGAAATCAATGATTTATATTATTATTTTTATGGTTCAGATAAGCAGTAATTATGAACTCAAAATATACAAAAGATACTGAAAATCTGAATACTTGTTCAAAATTAATGACTAAAAATTATTTAAATATCTGCACAAAATTGGGGAAACAGAAAATTTGAATGTCTAATAATGTTGAATTATATATTAAATAGTGTATAAATATGTAAGATAGCTTATTATTTACTAATCTACAAAGCATAATATATATATATATAACATTTATTTTCTTAAATTACTACTGTATTTTTAGATTTATATCAAATCCTACAATGAATTAAAATCAATTAAGATTTTCAAATATGATTAAATGTTACAAAAGTGTCAACCATTAAAATTTTAATATCTCTAAAGCATTTGGGTTAAAGAGAAAAAACAAATCTTCAGTTGCAAATTTAATGAACAGGAAAAGAGTCTTCTGTGTAGGATATGTTAATGAGGAAGACATTCAGCAGAGTTTATTGGATATGAAAAAATAGTAATCAGAAGTTAACTTACAGACGACTGAGGTCATTCCAGCATTCTAAAAAGTACAATTTGAATCATGTAATTATAAAATGAGGGAAAACACACAATGAACACAAGACAAAAGGGACATTTCAAAAGTAATAAAAGTGAGATAAAAGGAAATCTTCAAGCTGATCAGGATGTGAAAACGGGGGGACATTATTAAAGCACTGCCTCAAAAATGTTAATATCAGGTGATATTTACAAATTGCTTTCAACATTTCAAACTCTCACTGGCACATAAAATAGGTAACAGAATTCATGCAGCTAATAGTATATTATATCCAAATACAGAAAAGATAGATAAGCAGTAATACATCCAAGTGAGGTAAACACCATTAGTGTTTTCTGTTTTTATGCAGACTAAAACACAAAGAAACTGATGTTCCCAGATAGTATGACTGGCAGCCGTTAGGCCCATACATAGCTGAACTTATAAATGTAAATGGCAAAATCATAAGCAGGATAGCCACCAAACTGAATGTTAAAGTGCATTCCAATGTCTTTTCAAGATGGGCAAGCAAGGTTTCTCCTGCAAATATAAATACGGTTTAATAGTAACAAGCTTTTTTTTCCTTCATTACTGGAAATTGAATCCAAGATACTCATATTGAGCTACAGCCCCAACTGTTTTTTTTTTAATTTTTATTTTGAGACAGGGTTTTATAAACTTGTTAAACTGCCCAGGCTGGCCATGAACTTGCAAGTTTCCTGCCTCGGCTTCCCAGAATGCTGGGATTACACATAGGATCTACTGTGGTGGACAATAAAATTAAATTTTATTTATCACTTTCACAGATCAAATTGAAAAGAAATCTGCTACTGTAATGTATTGCAAAAAAGACTCTCAAATCATTAAAAATCAACACATCCAATGTTATCATTTTTAAGTTATAGTAAGCAGTTCTGAGATTCTGAGAGTAAAAGGACTACAGATAACCATAATGTGTTATATATCCAAAAAAGCCTGAAGAGCATCAGTGTTTTTAGCATGAAGTATGTTTGAGGAGACAAATATGTGAGACCTTGAACATTAAATAAAATATACATATATTGAATTACTCCATAATACCCAACAATTATGCACAAATTTTAACTTTTTAAATATTTTAAGATTTTACATTTTTAATTTAAAATTTTAAGACTTTTCATAAATGAAGTCAGCATGAAATGCTAAATGCCTATCCAACTTGTATCTGGAAATTTTATGAACTAAAGGCCCACTCCTGTTCATAATGAAATAAAAATATATAGGTATATTGATGGATGATTGAATGATTGTGTTGTAGTAAAATACAGAAAAATAACTTTGAAGGTGAGAAACCACAAAACTGACTTCTAGATGGTCACTCAGCTTACAAGCCAGTGTCTTTCGTGGAGTGGACAATCAAATTCTGGGAAATTATGGTTTGTGGCGCATGGTTTATGAAACATTAATAATTAAAAAGTCCTAGGTTCTATCAAAATTAATTAAGTCAGAAGAGAGAATCTCATGTAAATTCACAGCCGCTGTATAACTAAACTAGGAGATGCACATACACATGTGCACAAAACACCCACATAATAACGAAACACAAAAGAAAACAGGACTGCAGCAACAAGTAGGAAAATCAAGCCACAGAGTAAGACTCAGACAGAGAACAGTGTGCTACTAACAGATGCAGAGCATAAAGAAAATACAGATTATAGGAAACATGGAGATAGGTCTTTTGCAAATGGAAAGGGGACCAGGAAATGCAAAGAAACAGGAAGCAGGAGATGGGAAGTGGGCATGAAAAGAATTAAGCTTTGAAAAGAGTATGTGCCAGTTCCCCGCAGTGAATGTACAGTTACCATTATGCACTGCAGGCATTTACTAACCAATATAAACACTAAAAAATATTTCTTGGTTCAGGAATACCTGTACAACAGACTTATATGTAGTGTAGAACTATGTTTACAGACATCGTATCTCTGTAAAGCTATGATTTGAAAACAAAATATAAGTAGAAATTTTCCTTATAAATATGTCAAAATAAATGACAGATTGAATTGTTTTTAAGTGAAATCCTGCAAGTGAAGCAAAAAAAAAAGTCTAATCTCAGGATAGATAAGTGTTTTGGGATTTTAAGAGGATGTAAGAAATCCAATAGAGAAATGTTAAAGTACATAATGATCGTATTTAGTGTCATCATAGTAACTGAAGATTATCTGAATTTTAAGGCTAATTTTATGAAAATATTTCAATTCTATATGTTAGAAATTCTTATCCACAATAATGAGACACAAATGAGATCTAGAAATTGTTTATAACGAGTGAGTGTGTTGGGTGTTTGTTTCGTGTTGTTGTATATTCTCTACTTCTGGGGGCAGAACCTAGGGCTTTGCAATACTAGGTAAGCACTCTACCACTGAGCCCTGGCCCCAGGCCCTGTTACTATTTTCAATCTTTAGAGCACTCATACAGATAAAGAGGAAAAAAGTCTACCTATCTCATACTGAAAGAAAATATAGGAAACAAAATTCACAAAACAAATGTCTTTATATTACTTCAAATCAATGCCAATGAGCTAGTAGGATGTATGTAATTTCTGCTGCTGATACAATTTGGTTACGTAGTTCAGACCATTAAACCACGCATTAGATGGTTTTTCTAAAGAGATCAACAGCTTAGATTAAGCATACAGGAGAAATGCATTGCAAGTATGTATCCAAGTTTGCAACTCAGATTTCTATTGTATAATATGAATCTAATTATAAATGCTGATTAGGTTTCAATTGTAAAATAGTAAGAATTTATCTTTGGTCTAAATGTGATTATTTATTTGCCTGAAAAGATAAATATTGTGAGATAAACAAGTGTAAAAGGCTAGGAAGAGTAAAGGCAGTATTCTGGTCATCATACGTATTAGACCTCAAGAGACAAGGCCTAACCTTACTAATTTACAAGACAGGAATGTAAGCTTTCTATTTAACATGCTGAAGATACCACAGAGGAGATACATATTAGAAATGTAGGCATGGTAGGGAGGACAGATGCAATTTGAAAGAAATATTTTTCTTTCTCTCAAAGTGGAATTAATATGAAAACATTTGTTTTGTTTTCCAAATTTATTCATTTAATTAATTAATTGATTGATTGATTTTGGTACTGGGAATCGAACTCATGCTTGCCAGGCAGGCGCTGTGCTGCTGAACTATATCCCTGGCCCCTCCAGTTTATCTAATTTGAATTTAATTAAGATCCTTGGTACAAGGTAGGTATATAAAATGATCACAGTCATCATAGGACATTTATACCTACCTGTACATGATATATCTTGATTTGTTTGTGTTTTTTCCTTCCCATTTTCTTCCTTTCTCAAACACCACTTAAACTTTGTAGATGATTTTCAGAAAATAAATAGAAAAAGTGGCTCACTACACTTCAATTGCAAAAGAGATGGGGGGAAAGAAATTGAAGAGAACACCACTGCTGAACATTGTAGTCTTTTCCTCATGAAAAATCTTATTGTAAACTATATTATTTTATGGCCATAAAATACTTATATACAAATTATCTTCATTAAAGCACTGGTTAAAACAAACAAAAGTTGGGAAAAAATGTTTAACAATATTAAGTTGAACTGGTAGATAGGTACAAACATTTTCTAATGTATTTTTTTAGGTGTTTGAACTAGATTTCAGGGAAGATTTTTAAGAGACTGGAAGAAAACATAGCATGCAAAGTAAAAGGAACAATATCAAAACTTCTCTACGCCTTGCGACAAATATGTATAAAAATGTGAACACTAGCATCTGACAAACTGCCACTGAATTACATAGATTTATTTTTTACATTTCTACTTTTATAACTTTGCAATGATAATGTACTTATTTTAAAAGAGGAAGTCAAAATGACATTACTGACAACACTGTGATTTACTGTGATTTAGTGTTACCACTAAAGAGAGGACTTAAAATGAAGAAACCACCTAGTAATAGTTACGGTTTAGGTCGAGGCCCTCCTCCCAAGGCCTGACATACTTAGGGGTATGGGTTGGCGGAAGGCGACCTGATTAGAGGGGGCTGGAGCTGATCTGGTGTTAAGAGGTGGGATCTGGTGAAGAAGCAGCACCGCTGCTCTGGGATGCTCCCAGAGGGGTACATCTCCCTTCTCCACCCACTTCCCAGGTGACTTGATAGGCACAGATTTTCTTCTCCTAGACCTCTCTGCCACACTGTCCTGCCTGGGAGCCAGCAGAGTATGGGTCAAAAATGCCAAGAACAAACCATTCCTCCTTCAGTTGGTCAGTGTCAGATATTGTGTCCCTGTGACAAAGCGACAAAGACAGCAATTCATCATTTATGTATTAAAACATGCCAGAGCATAAATTAATAATCCTATAGTCTTATAAAGAAAGCAGGCAGGCTAAACTATGCCAAAGGAGCACTGTAGTCATGATTTACTTGTCTTTTCAAAGAAGACAAGAATTCACTCTTTGAGACATAAAGAAACCATTCTACATACACTTTATGAATTTCCTACTGGAATTTGGCACCTAACTGTCTTGGAAGTGGCTCTCAAACATTTTATAGCAGGGAGTGATGTTAGTACTGGATTCCTTAATGTTTAGAGTTCATTGTGAATTCCATTACACAAAGTATTTGCTTAAATCAGTGTCAGCCTCCTTCCCCTCTGTAGCTCATGACTGTTGCTTTTTTTTAATCCCTGGGGCAACACTTTTTACTCTCTAACTTAATGCTTACATCTCAAATCGGGTCTCTATTTGCTTCCCAATGAAACACAGGTCCTTCAGTGAATATAACCATTGTACATGAGAACTCACAGAAGCTATAAAACTATTGAATAAATAAATAAGATATAAAAAATTTGTAGACCCACAGACTTGTTACTGTCCACACCCTCCATATGACTTCAGGATGGCTTGGTCAATGACTGACATGGTGTACCATAATGGTCGTGTAAGATTGTGTCACCCAGTGAAGTTTTACTTTGTGCATTCACATTGTGGCACTGGACAACAACAAATTCACCTAATGACACATTTTCCAGAACTTATCCTTATCATAAAGTGACCCGACTGTTTACACACACACACACACACACACACACACACACACATATACACAAAGACACACCCAGGCATACACAAATGATTACTGTTTGCTTTATAAACTTATAATTAAATGTAAACTTAATTACTAAGCAAGTAAAACACTGGCTCCCCGGGTGAAGGCTGCTGTAAGACAGACTAATGAGAGCTCGTCTCGGGCACAGGCCACACTGGCTTCCACAGGTCCTCACCTCGGCGGGCGTGTTTCTCGTCCTTGACGCAGACTTTACTTAAGGAGCCCACTGGATCGCAGTAACAAGGCTGGCACGGGCTCGGATAATTTGGTGACACCTAACAGAAATATTAAAATGCTTTCAGTCAAATGTAATAAAAACAACACTATTTTTCAATTGAGCAAACTTTTAAGGATGCGTTAGTTTTATAATACACAAATTATTTTGAGAAAATTATGAAACTTCCTTTAATAGATGTTTGTAATTTCTAAAATCTAATACTCTAAATATACACACAGAGTAAAGAAGATGGGACAGTAAACTCTTCATATTTGCTACCTAAATCCCACAGCTATCAAGATTTTGTCATACACATTTCATGTCTTTCTATCCTTTACTGTATTTTTAGAAGAAATTGACGATAAAAAGCTTTGAATCCCTACGCATTTAAAGAAGCATCTATTTTTTGTCACCAGATAATTATCATAATACAAAAAAATGGTAATATCTGTTTTATTGTCTAATCACATCCACGAAAAGGCTTCCTGGATATTTTGCATTTTATTTCAACATTGCTTGAAATTAGCAATGTGAAGTTTCTGCCCAATTTATTTTTAAGAACCTCTTTCACGTTGATCATGATAGGATTGTTCAAATACAAATTTATGTTTGGTGCACTAAAATATTATTGAATCTTTGAATTAAAAACTTGGTTTTGTAAGAGGTTGCATAACTGGAAAGAAAAAAAATAGAAACTAATTTAGAAAAGGAGCTCATGTCCCAGTATGGCCACGCACAGGCTGGGGGCGCTGTGCAACTTATTCACTTCCCTGTAATATGACGATGATGATGAAAGCACCTACAAAATTACTCTGTAAATCAAAATTAAAATAAATAACATATAAAGCATCTCATAAGGCTTCTAGACTATATTAAATACATAACTAGTAGATTTTACTGCTTTATTTTAATTAAATGAAGTTAAACTATGCTAACATAATGTACGTATATGTTTTCTAGACAAAACAGGAAAAGAACCAAAACTAAATTAGATGTTCAGAAACCCCTGAAATGGTGCTGAGTACAATTTATGTATATACTTGTGTTTTTCATTCATAAGCAGAAACTTGTTAGCTGATACACTTAAAGGCATTAAAACTAGAGCTGTTTACATGTGAGTGCTTACAGTTGATCAAATGTGGATTAAATAAGTTAATGGAGAAGTTTCAAAATCATCACTTGTTCAAGCTCATTCATTTCTCTGATTATGCAATAAGAATTATGCATCGCACAGACTGCAGTCTTGGTTCCTGTCCTAATTTTACAGGATTATATTTTGAAAGGCAATAACTAAAAAACATATGCTACGTAGTAAAAGAGAAACACAAACAAAGCCCATGAGGCAAAAAAAAAAAAGGAAGAATATTAAAATGCAAGGAAGTCAAGTGGTGTTTTGGAGAAAAACTAACATTTTTACAAGAGCTTCAAACATGAATAGCAATTTAAAAGTGGAACTGGAAGAAGAAAGGCTTCTACCCAGAGAAAACACCAGGCCATTAAAAAAAAAAAAACTGTGGCATAGTACAATATGTTGTTGTGCATTAAAAAATTGACTCAGGAACATGATTTATGATCTCAGTGATGAATGTCAGTGGTTGAAGGCCTTCTGCCCACTATAATGTCTGCAGTAGTTGAAAAAACTTGCTTGAATTAGACTGCTCACCAAAAGGTAATCAACAAGGTTATGTAGATATGCCTATTCTGATTTTTAATTTTATTAAAATAATTAAGATTATAAGACAGTCTTCTAAATACTGTTACATATATTTCATACCTAAAATATATACACATATCAATCAAATTTACACAAATGTAAAATCAAATTTTGAGAAAAGAATTTAAAGAACATCACAGAAATAAATTATGTTCTAGGGTACAAAAGTTTATTTTCATAACTTTGTAGAACTTTTCCCAACTATTAAGTGCTTGCAACACTTGCATATAAAAAATTCCATTTAGCAAAAGGATTTTTATAAGTACCTAAACATCAAAATCTAATACAGATTCACTTAATTACTTGACTTGTAATAAAAATTTGATCAAGCTTCCAGGCCTGATTTAATAGTGTGTCTTGTAGAATAATATATCATCAGATGACAATGATGAATTACAAATCTTGGCCAAAACAAAAAAAAATTAAATTATTTGAAGAAACCAGAAGAATGTGATGTTTGAAAGAAAAAAATACACACAGAAGAATATCCATCCTCAGAGAAGGCCAAATCCAAATTCTTCCTATCTTCACATTTCAAATGCTTAACAAACCATTATTGGTTAGATACACACTAGAGAGGCCAAAGAATGAAGGAGACAGCAATGCTGGAAAGCTGAAAGCAAAGCTTTCAGGTGCTCCACCATAAAATGAACAGAAAACAGAGTTTAAATCAACTAAGCTAGAAATGTCAAATAAATATTCCAAGTCTTCTCTGTGTTCTAACAAATAAAACCTCCTCAAGTTTCCAATGTCAATCAGTCAGCTTACTATTAATCAGAGAATGACTCAAAACCTCCTCAGGAAGATACAGAATGTCAGGTCTCTATGTTGTATTATCCAGAATGTCACTTAGAAGCAATCATTGCATCAGAGGCAGTGGACACACCTTGAACCCAGCCCCCAGGGCAGGCTAAACAGGAAGATTCTGAATTCAAGTGCTGAGGTGGGGACTTAGTTAGGACCTGTCTTAAAATTAAAAAAAAAAAAAAGAAACAAAAGGGCTGGGAATCTAGCTCAGTGGTGGAGTACCTTCAAATGTAATCCTCACTGTAAGATAAATAAAATAAATAATTAATAAATACAAATGTGATACTTATTTAATACAGACAAGCTAATAAAAGTAGACCATGGGATGAACCGAGTACTGAAACACCACATTTCGAAGTGTCATTGCAGATACTGTGAATATACCCAAAACATAAAGGAAACAAATACTTTTACTCAGTGAACAAATGAGATATTTCAGCAGAGAAACAGAAACTATAAGAAACAATTCCTGAGAGTCAAAAGTACATATGATGTGTGATGGAAAAACAGTGAGTGTTTAAAACTTAAAAACTTAAAAGACACATTGCTATCAATCCTCCCTCACTTCAAACACATTTATCCCCACATTTTTGCCACTTTCTGGAGTGGTTCTGGAAGCCCTCTTTCATGAGAACACAGCACAGTTTCTGAAGCCTGCCTTTTCATTGGCTGGCACAGGAGACCTAATTCACCCTTTTTTCTCACACACTACAAAGACACTAAGGGAAGAAAATGTCCAAACTTCCTCATAAGTGATGGGAACAATGGGATAATCGTGCTTGAAATGTGAGGTGGTTTGAGGGGCCACGGGTGATTAATAGCCATGGAGCTTTTACTATAAGAATATTTTTGATACCTAAGCATGCATTATATTTTTGATCAAGCCTTGTATCTCAATTTTAAAATTCTCTGGCTGTGCTTAATGTCAGATTACAAATGACAAGAAGAAAACACTTCAAAGTAATGACACATGGCAGATGAATAATCAAATATAAAGAACAGAGAAAGAGAAAGCTTTTAAAAATAACAGCACTGCCTCATTAACCTATCAGGAACAACCCAGAAGCACGACATGTATGTAGTTGGACTGTCAGGAGGAAAAGAGAAAACACGGGTCACAAAATACTTTTCAGGAATTAGGACCTAAAATTACCTAAGTGTAGAATTAACTCTCTGTTTATTGTTTCACAAAGCTCAGTGAATTGAACAAGATAATCACAAAGAGATCAAACATAAACCCATCGGAGTCTAACAGATTAGAATATATTTTGCAGAGATAAAGACCAAAACATGGTTTTGTAAGTCATATAGAGTCTCTCTTTCTCTTCCTCCCTTCTTTATCCCTCATTTATTTTTCTCTCTTCCTATTTCTCTTCTAACAAATCTTTACCAAAAAAAAAAAGTTTAGCTTACAGATCACATATAAATAGACCATAGACAAGAATGGTTGAATTGTCAATTTTCTGTTAATTGTACAATTCCCAAAAGTACATACAAAGAGAGTATGCTGAAATTAGCTAGTAAATTAAAGATTGTTATGATTTGTATCTAGATGCTCCCATAAAGCTTTTTTAGCTCATAAAGGAGACTTTAGGGAAGCCACTGGAACATGGAGCTTTAACACTTATGAGTGAATTTGTTCACTGATAAGCTGATAGCTAAATGTAGTGTTGGGACAGAAAGCCTGGTGGAAGGAAGTGGTCACTGGGGCAGTGGCCTGGAGGAGTCTTTCTCCCTCCTCCTGCCTTGATCTCTCCCTCTCTGTTTCACCCTCTCTTGTCCTTTGTCATGGTTTATGTCTGTGGCCCCCAGGCCTCATGCATTTGCATTGTGCATTTGTGATTGGTTCGTTGTCTAGTGCTTGGATTGATGGTGTCAGTGCTCCACCCACAAAGGGGTGGAGCCAGGATGTGATATAATGGCAGGAAGAAAGTGTGTTTCTCTCTCCTCTGCTGGTTTCTGCCTTGCCATTTGCAGCCACCATAAACTGTGGCCCAGCCATGCCACCCTGTCTTTGAGCCAACTAAGTATGGACTGAAACCTCCAAAAACTGTAAGAAATAAACCTTTCCTTTCCCAACTTTGGGCTTCAGGTATTTTGTCTCAGCAACAAGTAAAAAGTAACTAAGACATCCTTCTACCACCCCCTCTGCCATGCCTTCCTGCCTTGGAGCCAGCTCACCATGGACTGGAGCCTCTACAAATGTGAGCTGAAGCAAAGCTTATCTCCTAAGAGTTGTGGAGGCTGGGTATTCTCAGCTAGGAGAAGGTAACTAAAACAAAAATACATTATGTATTATGTTCTACACATAAAAGAACAAAGATGCAAATGATGGCTGTGTTTTCTGAAGAATCAAGGAAATAGTAGTGGCACACTTTTCAGTGCTAAAAATACCTAAATGTACATACAATGAAAATAACCTTCAACAATGAGAGGAAAACCATTTTCAGATTTGAAAAATCTGAGAGAACTTGTCACCAATATCCTGTGCTATAAAAAATGCTAAAAGGAAGTCTTCAAGCAAAATTAAATAGATATAAACTAAATGTTACTATAAATGGTTGTGGAATATATATATATATATATATATATATATATATAGTGCAAAGCTATCATTTTTCTCTGTATTTTTTAGGTCAGTTGTACTGGGAGCTTAGATGCAATGTATGAAAACAGATCCCAAAAGGTAGGTATAGATGAAACTACACTATTGCAGAATTTTAGGGACCCTGAACAAGAAATGGTTATTAAGAATGCATATCATATTTACCAGTCTTTTCCCATGAGTTGGTGCCAGCTGTGGACTTCAAGGGAGCAGAACAAGACACCAACAAGGAGCCAAGCCCTTTATGTGAGTTGGCACCATGCATGGGCTGCTGGGAGGGAGAACAAGATGCCAGCCTTTCCCCATTAGTCCGTGTCATTCATGGACTGTGAGGGAGAACAAGTAGCCAAAAAGAAACCAAGGGCTGCATGCAAATTGGTGCCAGTCATGCGCCACTAGGAGGACAAGATGCCAGTCCCTTCTGGCATATGGGCTGGGAGACAAGAGGCCCCCTCCCCGACCAGAAGCAATCAGCTGATCCAGAGAAACACAGGCTGAGGTAATAGCTACTGCATTAAAATACAAATAATGCTTATAGCCTTTAGCGTTTCATTGACTTTGCAGGCCTAAAGCCAATAGTCTGATCATCTATTCAGAGGATAGCAACATGCAGTATAGCATCTGTGAGAAATCTCCTTCTATAAGTGGTAGCCATTATTAATTCCCTAACGTCTTGTTTTGAATTCTTGTGTCATTTTCTTTTCTTTTTTTTTTTTTTTTTTTTGGTTTGGTTTTATTCTGTTTTGTCTTGTTTCATTTTATTATATCCAATAGCATTGGCAAAGATAAGATATGTTATTGGTAGCCATTTTGGATTTACTATTATATTGTTTTGAAGTACTTTATTGCATACATTGTTTTTTATTGGTTATATTCTGTTCCATTTTGTTTGATTTTTACTATGTCTGAAGGTATGGGCAGCTATTCCAAAGACAACAAGAGGCTTTATGGTAACTATTGATGACTTCCTTTTATCTTGTTTTGAAGAGATATCTTGTATCTCTTACACTGTTTTATTTTGATTTGCTTTATCCAGTTTTATCTTGCTTGGTTTTATTCTCTTTAAAATAAAAATTGTAAAAAATGCACACTGTAATCACTGATTCATAAATTAAAGACATAAATCAAGGGGTATGGCTGACAATATGGCAGCAGAAATAAAGTACTGAAAAATATTTTTTACAAAGAATACAATAAAACATCAAGAATTTTATGGAGAAAAACATAGCAAAACCCAAACATAACAATAATTACATTATATAGATATAGACCAGTGGTAAAGAACCTAGGCACCTATGTTGCAGTGAGCTGTTTGTATCACTTAAAGCTCTAAAAGCTTTTCACCACTGGTAAAAAATAAACATACAATTTAAAAAGACAGATAGGATAAAAAGCCCTGCATTTATTTTATATTTATAAGACATCTGCTTTTCAATAAAACTAATGGTAGGTTCAAAGTAAGAAATTGAGAAAGGTACACAGAGTTAGCATAGGAAAGCAGTTATCGCTCTATTACTAAGAAAGGAAGCAGATTTTAGGAGCAAACATTCATCCAAGATTAAGTAGAGATCTTTATAACTATTAAAATGTCTAGTTATGTGGAGAATCACCACATCTATTTCCCTGAAAACTAGCAGTGATTTTGTTTAGCTGTGAGCAGTGCAAGCCGGTATAGAGATGATTTTCCTAAACTGACTTTCAGTTTTAGTCAAAGAAGCAAGCAGACAGTGCATGGGCTACCATTGCCCCACCCCACCAAAGGCCACAGGTGAGCCCAGAGAGGTGGGCTGTGAGATAAGGTCTCCGTTGAGGCCTATGTGACTCCAGTGAAAATTCCTTCCTTGAACTGACTATAAAATAGGTTACTCTTCAATCACAACCAGATTCTGGCTGTTTTGTTCCCTTGGCAAGAATGCTTTGCTCTCTCTTTTACAAGCCTTGCCTGCCAAATCACCTGTTTAGCACATCCGCTGCAACACCCTCACCATTTTCCCCAATGTGAATGTGATCAATAAATATTGAGGCTCTGGCTGTTTTATGGTCTTTTGTCTCCCATAAACACTGGCCATCCCTGATCCCTGTTGCATTGCTTTTTGTCTGTTGTGCTTTCTTTTTGCTGTGTGTCATAATACCCCACAGGAAACTGGGGATTCACTGCAGGGGTACCCCATAATGTTATATGATATAAAAATACATAGATAAGATTCTAAATGTGTGTGCTATGGGAAAAAGGATCCTTCTTTGCTGTGGTGGAAATTCAGACTGGTGCAACCACTGTGGAAATCAGTGTGGAGAGTCTTCAAAAAACTGAAACTAGAGTTTCCACTTGATCTAGCTACTTCTCTTGTTGGTATCTTCCCAGGGAATTAAAAGCATCACAGCACAGTGATATATGCACACTCATGTTTATAGTAGCACAGTTTGTGATAGCCAGATCTTGGAAACAGCCCAAATGCCCATCAACCGATGAATGGATAAAGATGTGATTGTTTAGCACTCAAAATAGTAGAGTATTACTCAATCATAAAGAAATATAACAAAATGAAAGGGAGGAATCCACAATTGTAAACTGAAAAAAAATCTATATTTATGGCCATTATCTAGTTCAGGCCCAACTTCAAATGCATGTGTCTGCTCACCAAGACACCATGACTGAATGTTAAACTACATCCCAATTAACTTGAAAAGTTTGCTAATTTACACAATATGTTATCAGAACATTAATTAATCATACAGAGTTCAATAGAAATATGACACTTAAGACTAACTATTTGGGGCCAGGGATTCAGCTCTGCAGCATAAGTGCCTGCCTGGCAAGATCATGAGTTCAATCCTCGGCACCCCCAAAAAAGGGACTAAATATTTGAAATTTAACAAAGAAAAATTGACAAAAGGAATTCAAAATTATTTTTAAATAAGTGGTACTGAACATAAAGCATTTCTGAATTTGTGGGAAGTGACTAAAAAATAGGAAGGGGATTTATATTTAAATCCTTATATTATATAAGAGATTTAAGGCAATAAGTTTCCAAGTTGCTACATAGTAAAATAACATGAAATTTAAACATCAAATGACTGTAGATATAAGTTTAAGAGCAGAAATCAATAAATAAAGAAAAAGACAAAATGTTTTTTAAAAGATTAAAAAGATTGATAGACCATAAATGTAAATCCTCAGGAAAAAAAAAAAAAAGAGAAAAAACAATGTAAAAATTTTAGGAATTCAGGAGATGTTATCAGTATAGATTCTTTACACTTTCTGAAAGATGAATAAATTTTTAAAAAATTATAGCAAAATTTTGACTACTTGGATGAAATAAGTGCTTTTAAAAATGCACCATATCAAACCTGACTCATGTAAAACCTGCCTAGCCTTATAATATATAATAATAACTTAATGCATGTAAAATTTATTTATGTAAAGAAAGAAAGCGGCTCGGATAATTTCACTAGAGAATTTTATCTTAAAATAGTATGAAAGATTTTAAAAATAATTTCAATTTTACACAATAATTTTATATATCAGAGGAAGAGAATGCATTTCCCAGACTTAGTTTTTGAGATTCATGTCCTACACAGAAATGAAGACATTATAAGAAAACAAGATTATAGACCAATATCCCTGTGTGAAGACACAGCAATGCTTCCCTAAATAAAACCACCAACACAAAAAAATTTATAATATCCATAATTATTTGGAGTTGAAGCCACAAATGGAAAGCTAATTTAATATTTTATAAATGAATAAATGTAATTGATTTCACTGAGATGAGAAGATACTTATATATATTTTAGCAAAGCAGAAATACTTTTGTCAAAATGTAAAAACTCTTTAAAATAAAAACTCCTCAGTAACCTAGGAATAGTGGGGAACCTACACAATGATTTAATTTCTTTCTAAAAGTTAAAAAATTCCTAAAATAAATACTAATATCTTGACTTTAATAGATACTTCATGAGCAAGGATAACAGCAATGGCCAACAAACACTTAAGATGAGAATTCATGTCATAATGTGAAGCCATTACCATTAGAATGTGTAAGTGGAAAAGGTCATCAACCTCGTATATTAGTGATGATAGAAAGAACTAGAACACATCTAAAAACCTGGTATTTTTGGTGACCATGTAAAATATTCTTACTCACTTTCAAAATTTCAGTTGTATATTGCAAAGTTAAATGCATACGTATCATTTGAGAAAATCACTTTATTCCTAGTCATTCGTATAAGATAACTTTAGAAATAATTATATAAAGACTTATATAAGGCTATTTGCAGCAGCAAATAACTGAAACCAACAGGAGAAAGGAGTGAACTTTATGTAGTCGTGCAGAATTTTACTCAGAATTTTTATATAAATTACCGATTGATGTGACATCATGAGTAAATCTTAAAACATTGTAAACAAAAGAGTGAAGACACAAAATACTATGAACCACATAAATTAACTTCTATGAAGTTAATTAAAGCACTAATTCATGTTCTAAATATCAGAGCAGACCGGAAGGACTCACAATGGCATTTTCTGGAGTACTGGAAATGTTTCCTATCACATTCTTAAACATTTGTAACATTTTAGTTATGAAGAGTTCCGAGTCTCCCATTAGATTTTGAAATGCGACATTTTAGAGAAGCTATGCAAATTATTTTTATGCACATCTTTTGCATATGAGAAAGCAAAAATAACACTTTACTGCAGAAAAGCACACTTTACCCCTTTGGGCCGGAAGTAGCCATCAGTACACGTCTCGCAGTTGATACCGGCCGTGTTCTGCGAGCAGTTAATGCACACGCCCCCTCCGATGTACTTCCCGTGGATATTCAAACTCAGATTCCTTCTGGCTACGTTTTCATCGTAATAGCATCCTTCAGCTTTTCCATGGCAATTGCATGCTGGAATATTGGGAAAAGCATAAATAGGTAAACATTAATTTGAGATTTCAGGTATGTCCAAAAATTATCTTGTTACACATTTAGCATCCATATAAACAGATATATTTAGAAAGTATTTGGGTTCATGGGACATGTTAATTAATTCACAGTTTCAACAAAATTGGAGATAATTAAACATAATTTAAAATTGAAATTGTCAATGTTTTACTGATTTCTTACTGATTTCTTATAAAAGTGCAACTTCATATGGCTCAGCACATGATGCTCTATTATGGCACGTGATAAATTATTGAACAATAGCACTGAAAGATTGACAGCCAGGTAGTGTATAATGAATAATTACCATGGTGAATCTCTGCGCTGGATTCATGGGTAAAAACGGACAGGTGGAATATCATTCTTCTCACTGAACAACTAAACTAGAACAACCAAAATTTACTTGTTTAATATGCCAGGCTCTGTTTGACTTGTTTTGTATTGCTTATGATGGACTATAATTAAAATAGATCACTTTCTTATTTTAGGAATCTGAGCCAAAGAGAAGCGTTGTAACACATCAAAGATAAGCTCCTTCAATGCTGGAAGTTAAAATGGTGAAGTTAGTTCCAGAATCTGCATCCCTGACCGGCACGTTCCACCTGTGAGTGAGATGCAGGGTAGCTGTCCAGCATAAAGGACAGCATGAGGGCATCTGTACTGCATGTTTCTGACCTCTCCTCTAATTAGCAATCTGTGATATTAAACTGCTTCCTGAGTGTCAGATGTGTGACACTGAAAATTCAAGTATAAAAAAGATATTTTATTAATCACCCTTATAATTGTCTCACAAAGGCAAAATACTTAAAATAATGTTGGAAACAAAGAAAATATCTCAATAAATATCAGTAGTAGTATCGACTGAACAACGATGATAAAGATGGTAATTATGGCTTGTATAGCTACGTGAGCACAGGGAGAGGTGAAGCTTATGGAAGTAGAACTTCTAGCAAACTGGCATGTAAAATTAAATTTTAATAGCTTGAAACTTTTCCATCTAGAAATGCTGTATAAGATAACTCCACAGGCGATGTGACCACATTTCCTTCTAGCTTCACCAACGTTGTGTTTCATCAATATCTCGCATACCATTAATAAACATTCAAGTACTTGTTTGGTGGGTAAACACATACTTTCATAAATTTTAATTAATACTTTTTCAATTATGAATGTGATCACATCTTTGTTAGGTTGTAAAAGTCACATTTTTCTGAGAAAAATATATTTGACCTTTGCTCATTTTAACAAGTTTATAGGATTTCTCTTATTGATATGTGGGATCTTTTAATACAGCAACTATATTATCTCCTTGGCGTATTTGTTGCAAATATTTTCCCCATTTTGTTGACTTTATTTAGAATGTGTTATTTTTGCTACTTTAATGGAGCTTCAAACTTTATTCTAGGAAACACATAGTAAGATGTACAAATCTGTAGGCATTATAAATAGCTTCATAGCTGTAGAATTATACCCAAGAATACTTTAAGCATCTTGTTTTAGAAATGTATTGCAAAAAAAATAAATAAAGATCTTTGCTCGCAGTATAGAGGAAAATAAAGTGTGATACAAACTTATTCTCACACTATGTAGAATTGGTGTTGCCTTGTGTTACACAGACAAAACATCGATGTCTGCAGAACAGGCTTTTGTCTATTCCTCACCAGGTCCTTTCTATTCCTGTACATTGCATCCCCGGTTGCTGTCATTCAACTCCCCTGCCCAGCTCGGAATCTACAGCAGCAGAGGATAAGGACAACCCTTCCTGACACAGAGCTATTTTCTGTGCTGGCATCTGCAGCCTGCTATTTCACAGACCGTCTGAGACGTGCTATGAAACCATTCTCTAAGTAAAGGCTTAGCGGTGGAAGGAATACTCAATCTTTAGAGACACACTTGTCTCTTGGCTTAAATAAGCTAGTTAGGTGAAAATCCACATTAAACTCAAATGAATTAGAAGGTGATCATCCATTTTATAGAGGGATTTGTCATGTCACAGCAGAATTTGCCTAGGTATAAGATGAGTGAATGCAATTCAAGCTTGAACAGAAAACTTTTTACTTTCAGGAATACATGGATTGCCAAAGCTCAGTGTAGGGCTGGGGTGTAGCTCAGGGGCACAGCACCTGCCTGGCAAGCACAGGTCCTGGGTTCAATTCTTGGTACAAACAAAACAAAACAATAAAACCTCAATGTTGGTGTAAGAGTTTATGGCTCAGATGTCCACCTTAAATTTGTGGGTTTTGAAAATATTTCTTCTACTCTAGAAAAAATTGAAAAAATTATTCTGTCACTCCAATATTCAAAAGATGCATACAACAGCAAATGGAAATCTTTTGTCTTGTTTTTCTCTTCCCCTGTTGCTAACACATTCAGTCCTTCTTTTGGGTGTTTGTTTAGGCCCCCTAGATATATGAGGGCTGAGTGGTAAAGGATTTTGCAAATGCATTTAACATGTAACTCTGTGACCTGGTGGCAGAGACAAAAAGAATCTCCATCCCCTAAAACTGCTCTCACTCGGGATGTTGATATTTTACACATACAAAAAAGATAATTCAGCCAATATTTAAAGGCATTTGGAGGAAATGTTCTTGTGTGGATTTGCACACGAAGTTATCCTGAGGAATGGGTGGAAGAAGCTTTGGGAAACCTGTATTTGCTGGTTTGAGGTGGGAGCAGTTGAAGAAAATCTGTGATGGTGGTGACCACAGCAGCCCGTGTCTCTAAGCATGACCCACTGATCATGAAGGTAGCTTTACAAAAAAAATCCAAAAATATCTTTAGAAAAAAGGAGACACAAATTAAAAAGCAAATGAATGTAACTGCAGAAGACGACAGCTCATGCAGCATCTTAAACTGAGAACAAAACATTCTTCATGGCTGGAGAAAATTTTACAGTTCAGATGTGCTAAGATGCAACAGTATTGAAAACCTATGAGGTCCAACAAGTGATGGTTGGTAATTATGATCTGGATTAATGTTTATTGGATGAATATGTAGTGTTGAAATTAGGGTAAGACTTCTACAATTTGTTTTGAAATCTAATAGTCCTATTAAACTGAAACTGTATGGTTAGGGTTGATTTTTCAAAATAATCATTATTAAAATGTAGTTGAATTGGGCCTCATGACAGTTTAGGGTTATAGTCCTGTCAAAGACTGTTTTAAGGTTTTGTAGCTTGGGAAAATCTCTAGAAGCACAAGTTTCTCAAGCATCCTTGTCACCATGTGGGTCCCGCTGGCAGTATTAGGCTACTGTTTTAGCTACAGCACTTTGTAGGTATTTTTCTTTAGGAAAAACTATAGTCACTTAAGTACAAAGTGATAATTTAATTTATAAGTAAATACTTAATGACATCTTTGCATAGTCAGTCATTTTATTCCTTTTTAATTAGTGGTGTATTTCTTGGGGGTCACTGCCCAATAACTGTATAGCATAAAGTTATATATAACAATAATTATTATTACTGATAAGTTATTGGTAATATTCTTTAATAAGAGTAGCTCTAAATGCCTGCTACTCACGCTCTGTATTTTAAAGATATGTCCACCTGTCATTGCCCAGCAATTGTCCACGTGTCTGCCCAGCAGACACGGGCCCCTGCAAGATTATTTCAGCACTGTTCACAACAGCCAATATATGGAACCAAGTGATGAACACATAAAAAAAGTAGACTGTATCCATGCTGGCATATTATTAAATCATTAAAATGGTGAAATGTTCTGTGATAAGTTGGGTAGAAGTGGATAGCACTACATTAAGCCAAATAATCCAGGCCCAGAAAGACAAATAGCACACGACTCCACTATATGTAAAATCCACAAATGCTGGCCTGGTAGGAGATGAGTGTGGAGCAGAGGCACTAGCAGCAGGGAGAGAACCCCGGAAGTGGAGATGAAGGGCTGACCAGAGCGCTGAGTCAGAGTTAGACAGAGGAAGTAAGCTCTGGCTCTTTGAGAAGAAAATGCAGAAAATAATATTTTGAAGAAGCTACGCGAACAGATTTTGGGTATTTTCACCACAAAGAAAAAATAAATGAGAAGATAGATTGCTTACCCTAATCAAAACATTTCAAATTATGTACATGTATCAAAATATCATATGGCACCCATAAATGTTTATGTCAGATCTATACAGGTAAGTATGCATATTTCCAGGAATTTTATCTCTTGTCCTTGTCACCTTTTCCTCTTGTACCATTCGCAAACACTGTCCCCAAACACCACCTCTAGGCAAGAGAACTACTGAATCCTGCAGAACGAATTTCACTTTGATTTTTTCTTCCCTTTTAGGCGATGAACATTCAGGATAGAAAGTTAGAGAACAGAGCAGAAAAGGAAGGGTCTACAACAAGCCAGAGCATGATTTGGAACCATTTCCCAAGTATGTGCATTTAGAAAGCTGGTTTGGACAGTCGAGGTTTTATTTAATGTTTATTTACAACTCCATAAGCAGAGGGTTCACCTACCAACAATGTATGTGCAGCACGTTTTTAACTGTTTTCCCCCAATCCTCACACAATGGAAGAATCATAGGTGTGACAAATATCCCCAAATATGAAAACAAAACCCCGGAAAATTAAATGGCTAAGGTAACAGGGTAAAGAATCAGCCAGCTCTTGCACTGGATGAGACAGACAAGCTGGAAACAGGCTTTCTTCCTGGCACTCAGCACACGTGTCCCAGCATGAGAACAACACCCACTCGGTTGCTTCTCAAGAACTCACGTTCACATTCCGTCTTCGTCAGGAAGGTGCCGGCTCGCCACGGCTTCTGGTGGAACCCTGGGCAGCACTGGTCACAGCTGTCACCGCAGGTGTTGTGCTCGCACTCACAGCGTGATTTCTAGCCACAGAGCGGGGAGCACACCGTGAGCATGCATGAGGGTTGCAGAGGAAGCAAGTGTCGTTTTGCAAGGGGAAAACTTCTACAAAGTGCACCAAAATGTACAACTGCGCTCAGGCCAGGCAGCCTCGCTGCCTGCCTTGGAGTGGGTCCCTTGGACCAACACCAGCTTCGGATGGTCCAGGCTTGTCCTGGAATCCCTGGGTTTATGTTTGGAAGAGAAGAGAAGAGAAGGCCTAATAGGATGTGGTCTTGAACACTAAATTCTCCTGCTTTGATGCCTGAGGCCTGCAGATTTTCTGGGACAGATGTGTCTATTCCAAGGCATCTTTCAAGCACTGTTAACACTTTTGGATGTGGCAAAAGAGGAGAAAGTTCATTCACCCAACTGTGCAGCCCGAGCGCATAGGAAGAACCGAAATCTAGTGACTCTCATAGCTCGGGAAGCACTGGGCATTAGCACCACCATGGTGAACACCCGCCTTGCAGCAAGCAGCCTTACAACCTCACCAGAATAACACACCAGGGTTTTGATCATCCTAGGAGATAGTTTCCTATAATCCGCTAACTAGAAGGCCGCTTTTGGGGTAACACTATTGATGGTAGAGTTGTAACTGAGGCAAAACAAAAGCAGAAACACTAACCACGGTCTTGCCAGCATTCACTATTCTTCCTACTTAATATATTTCTCCCTTACACTGCGTGGCAGATAGTTTTGAATTTCATCAGTTTATTTGTGACAAGCAAAACAGCAGCTCATTCATCTTGTTCTTTAGAATTTTGCTCACCTAATGCATTGCTATGAATGCAAAACCCTCTCAAAAGCATTCCAGTGTTTTCTGCCCTGGCAGGCCACTCTCTGGAACTCTCTCTTCTCCTCTCTTATTTTGCTTCTGCCCGACCTCAGCCTCCTGTTCCATGGTCATTTATAGATTTGCCCTTCTACCCATTTTTCATTTGTTTGCATTAATTTTTTGATTAAAGTGTTTTTAAAAGAAATGGACAGTTTGATGGATGGTAGGTATTCTCTAAAGCTAAAGCATGTGGCAGGCTGTCAGAGCAAGAGAGGCTTCAAAATAGATACCAGTTTGGAACCTTTTAGGAGGGGGAAAAAAACCTAATCTGTTTTCTGATATCGTGATGGTTGACTTCAAAGTCTATCATCTTAACTGCCAGCTCCATTTCACCCTGGCACGGCTTTGTGTTACACCGTCTAAGTGGGGACCCAACACCCGTTCAAGGGTTCCCTGTCAGCAAAGCTTTCCTGTGAAACATTTTACAGTTCAGCACTTCATTTTCCCAAAGCGTACTATAAATATACATACATTTGTGGCTGGATCAAGCGGACAAGCCCTGGCATGACCATAGCAGATGCACATCCCTCCAACCGAAATATCCTTGACAGAGTAGTAATACTGCAAAAAGCAATCCAGAGAGAAATCCTGTTAGGGCGGCTGCGGGGTGAAAGCAACAAAAGCGATATTCAGTTACTATTTTAATTTTTGCTTTTATGCTTCATGGGAAGCATGTTTGTGGCTCTTCAGGACAGCGAGGACTCAAAAAATAGATGAAGTAACCCCTAGCTTTCCAGCCCTGGTCTAGGAGAAGATTGATTCTAATTTATATCAGGTTGGCACAGAAGACATTTCTTCCTGACGGGCAATATAAAGGCCATGCTTGCGCACCCATTGCCAGGAGTGGTTTTTTGTTTTTTAAATCTGAGGGTAAGGATGATAAATCTTCCTAAAAGTCATTAGACATGATTTCTTGAAAGAAAATCTCTGTCATCAGGTGACCTCAATACTCACCTATCTCATGCAGGCTTTTTTACAGGATAGATTGGATTTAAAAAGCCAATAAACTTACAGGAAATTGTGCTGTTAACAAGTTTTTAATCCAAGCTTTGAAAGTTTGGATAAAAACACTAAGTTTGAAGTGCAGAACACCTGTTTTATTATTATTATATTGAAATGCTCCATTACTTTCCTATCTGAAGCTAACACAGGGATATGCCTCTAATATTTTAATCTACCAGCTATTTTTAAAGATTATTGTTATTAGAGAGCTGGACTAATATTAAAATTTTAACTAATATGTGTGTAAAATTTAATCATCCTCAGAGCCCTTTGCATTATCATGTGATATCTAAAGAAACTCTTAATAGAGTATGTTTCTATTTTCCTAATTACACATGTGAAAAAATACGTGATTTAGCAACAATATGTATGCTGAAAACTATCTCAGTTCCCTGATTCTCCCCTTTCTCCTACTTCTTTCTTTCTCTCCTCCCTCTTCTTCTACTTCTCTCCCTCCTTTTGTAATTTATACATACTATCTTTACAAATATTTTTCTTACATTATCTTGACATTCCTCGACTTTGAACTAATGATACCTGCTATGTGGATAATATAAAAATCTCCTTTTCACTTAACTTCATCATTTAATAACATAAATATAAATGGATCTATGTGCTGAAAATGCTGGCATAGAGTCTAGGATGCCTTTAAAATTGGGAAATTGATTTTACATATAAATGTAAAATGCTTTGCTTTCAAATCATGAAGAAAACTGGAAATTCAGTACCCTATTTTTATATATTTAAATTTGTATGTAGTGTTTATTGAACTTGAGTACTTTCAAAAGTCATATTTATATGTTAACTTGTACTGTACTATTTTAAAGGCTAATGCACAATGCAGTTATAAATAATAGATGTGCACCCTAACCCTCACTCTGCCTTCTGGAAAAAATGATAAAAGGAATACTAATTTATTTTCATTGATTTTTGTTACCCTGATAGATATACTGCCACGAATGACTAAATTTCACTTCAAAATTACTCGGTCTCCTTTACTGTATATTTTAAATCATTCACAATTATAATTAAAGGTCATTTTAAAAACATGAAGAATCTAAATATTGCTAAAAAATAATGATTACCTCTGCAAAAGGCAATTGACAATATGCTGAAATATAAAAAAAAGTAAAGTGTTTCAGGTTTGGAAAAACAGGGTAGCAAAACATCTGACATGTTGTATGTGGATCATTAAAATGTTTAGTGTTTCCAATGTGATTACGGAGAGGTGAGCTGTGGGTGAGTTATGTACAGAGAGAAAAAGCACGGGAGGAATGTTCACTGTTCAGGATCTGTGATCCTCAGAGATTTAGCAGCTAGTGGCAGAGATTCTATGTGCTTTATTCAGGGGTTCTCTCCCTATCATCCTCTTCCATATCTTGTGCTTCCAGTAATACAGCAGATACTTTGTTGCGTGGACTTGTCTTATGGACTTATGGTTGAATTGACTCCCTTAGTAACACATAATATCTTATTCATGTAGCTAACCCTAGTGGCATATTAGAGACTGTCACATTAATTAATGCAGTGCACCATAGATGGAAAGGTGCACAATTATCATTCAGGGAAATTGTTATGGTTTATGGTCAGATGTGCACCTTACCCCCAGCCTCATGGAATCATGGATGCAGCCAAATTTGGTATTTGTGATTGGTTTGCTGTCTAGCTCTTGGATTGTGGTGTGAGTGCTGCACCCACCCAAAGGATGGGGTCAGCATACAGTGTAATGGCAGGTAATAAGGTATGACTTCTCTCTTTTTTATGTCTTGTTCCCATTTTGCTACAGGAGCAGCCATGAACCACTGCCCCTCAGTTATGTCATTTTGCCTTGGAGCAAAATGAATATTGATTGAAACCTCTAATTTGTAAGAAACAAACCTTCCCTTCCTTAATTTTGGGCATCAGGTATTTTTGCTTTAACGAGAGAAAAATAATTAAGACAGAAATCTAGGCTGTTTATCAATACCATGATTCTATAAATTTTAGTTTAAACCAGGCATGGTGGGTGCACATTTGTAATCCCAGCATGTGGGAGGCAGAGGCAAGAGGATCGTTGGGGGTTCGAGACCAGCCTGGACTACAAAGTGAGCTCAGCCTGAACTACATAGTGAGTCCCTGTCTCAAGACAACAATAAATAAAATAAAGCAAAATAAAATAAATTCTAGTTTAACATTGGAAGACAGCATTTCTGTTAGCTTCATTGATCAAAGATTAGTAGGAAAGATGGTTTAACCTTTTGTGGTTTTATTATGTTTTTTTTTTTCAATCTAAGGGTTGAACAGAAGGTCTTTTCACTGAATTATACACCTTCCCCTAACCCTTTTTAAAATTTTTCAAAATGAGACACTGTCTTGCTAAGTTGCTTAGGCTGGGCTCAAGAGTATAATCTTTTTCCTTAGCCTTACAAATAAAAAAATATTTTTAAGTTTTATTCTATCACTCTTACTAAACACATATTGAAAAGCACATCAACAGTACCTTGTATGATAAATCAGTTTACAACAAAACCGAATAAGGATATTGTGCATATAGAAGAGGTTTTCACCGAAAAGTCCATAATATAGCCGAATGAAATACAGTTTTCGTACTTTTTAAGTATAGGAAGGTGGAAAATAAGAGTCCTTTGCTACTCAGCAAAGAAAAACAAGTCTGAAATGGAAATTTAGGAATCAGAAAAAAGAATCTCTTGGTTCAGATACATATCTATGTTTACGGGCCTATTTAGTTGTTTTTTTAAAAACCCAAAAACAAGTATCAGAAGAAATATCAAACTCTTGCTAAGAAACACCAAGATCAATATGCTATTGAAACATCTGGTAGAAATGTTATAGACAATGATTTACTAAGTATCGTGATATTCATATAGTGCTGGAGTGAAGGTAAACCCACTGGGGAGAACACTCTTTATCACGGGCTGTGGTTTAAGCTGTCTTTCCCATTTTTTTGACCAAATCTTCATATCAAAGGCACAGCAATTACAGGTTACCAAGGGAACAGAGTAGTAGATTTTACTATTTGCAATCAACTATTCCAGCGCTGACACATGAGCCAATAAACTGTTAGAATTTATAACTGGATTTGTAAGAGTGATTAAAAGAGAGCAAAAATAGTACCCTTTGGGGGAGAAAATTTCTTCTACCCCAGATTTAATAGGTCAAAAGGATATTAAAGAATGTTAAATTATTTAAGATTTTTCAAAAAACATAAAAGAACTGTGAATAAAAAAAAGAGTAAATCTTTCTGGAAAAATATGTGGCTTTGCAGTCTGTAAAGTAAGTAACAGAAGTGCAGCTTAAACATTTACCATAATAAGTAACAGTCCTTAATTCCATAAATTGTGGTAGCTTTGTAGATTGTATATATTGTCTTATTTTTAAAGAAAAAACAAACAGTATGTTGATACGTTTTTTTCTCTATAGCAGTACTTTTATAAACTATGACTTATGGTTCTTTAATGAAACATAGAATGAAACTATTTGATGACACCAAATGGCCAATAAGTCAATAACAGTGATATCTGAATACTTTCTAGAACTTTCTAGAATTGTACATTCTCAGCCCTTTCTTAGATCTACTAAATTAAAATCTGTATTTTTCCAAGAATATCAGCTGATTCCATGCACAGTCTACTTTAAAATTCATCATTCTGTGGTGTGTGTGTGTGTATGTGTGTGTGTGCGTATTGGGTCATGATATAAAATGAATTCTTTAATGTAGACTGTGACCCAAAATGTTTAAAGACTTGACTTTCAATAATGGCTCCTTATAACCAATTATAATAATAGTACAGATCACCTAACATGACAAAAAGTAATTTAGTCCTAAAAAAATTATGGGCTAGATATGATTTTTGTTTTACAAGAGAGGAAACTAAAATAAAAAGAATAATAAAAATTTTCATAAAGAGTACACACTCACTAAGCGGCAGAGCTCAGGTTGGAACAAAGGAAGGCCTACTGAATTTTAAAATCTTCCACAATCACCATCCCCACAAATCACTGAGAGATTTCTTTGTAAGTTCCCTAAAGGATAATTGAAAACATGGGTGTCATATAATCCATAAAATCATAACTCACTCTCCTGGTGACAATGGGGTCAATTTCTCTTGGATCTTTGTGAGCAAACATCATCAAGTCGGCATTCAAGGTGCGGATCCTCTGAAATCGCAGCCGAATGTAGCGGGCAGAGGTGAATTCCAGCAGTTCAGGAGAAGGATCGTCAGCACTTGGTCTCCCGTTGATCAAAGAAATGTGAATCTACACAGCACAGAAAATGGTTCTGACAGTTAAGTTTACCAAAATTAAACACCTGCTTTTGTTTGCTCTTTCTTAGAAAACTAATGGTAAGTTCCTGTTCTCACAACTATGACACTTACCCATGTTTATTCCCCAGAAAACAGTGGAGCGATTGAGGGATTTCATGATCTATTTAGCAAGTAGCTATGCAATTCACTTGCATGTGTCTTAGATGTTCTATAAGCTCTATTCTTTAAAAATAAAACTAAGAAAGCAAAGAGCTTTTTATTTTAATTAATGAACCAATGCCATGCTGGAGCTCTAAGCAAGAATTCTACTTCTGAACTATATCCTCAGTCCGCTGGGTCCTACAACTGCCTACATTCCTCTTTGCAAAGTACTGTGTCATCTTGCCCTTTCCAGGGCTCCCATAAATTCTTTTTTTGGGAGGGGAGTGCCAGGGATTGAACTCACAACCTTGTGCTTGCAAGGCAGGCACTTACGCCGCTAAGCTAAACCCTTGGCCCTCCCATAAATTCTTAAGTCCATTATCTAATAATCTGATGTGTAGTGAGAAATAAGCTACAAAATTTTGATAGAAACTTAGTTATTCTGATTGAAATCATCTCATTATATCTACCTACTTATTTCAACTTTTATACTATATCTACATCTAAATGCATTTCTATTAAAATATAAGGAGCAAAATGGATAAATACAAGTGACTATTAGACAAATATATGCTTACAGTAGGCAACTTCAATATAGTTTTTTTCTTTTCGTGATTCATTTATTTTTTAGTAATTGATAGATCAAGAAGACAAAAATTTACTGAGGCCATGACAGGCTCTATGAAAAAATATTTTCTAAGGAAATAGATTAAGCCTGGATGAAACAGTGAATTGTTTATGAAAGTAATTTAGCTCCAGGAAAATACTCAATCTAATCAGACCTCTTTTCATGTAAAAATGGAGACAGTTCCATGGAACTTCCCTCCAAAGTACAGGAAGGTAATGTAGTCACAGGGATATCTGAAGAATAGAGAACTCTAATAAAGGACTAACTGCTGGATAAAATCAAAATAAACATAATAAATAAAGGAAGCATATTTTTATACATAAAAAATTATCATAAATCAACAAAGAAAAAGACCCACAACATAACACAAAAATTGGCAAAACAATACAGGGTCTCTACTGAAAGAAACAGAAATGCATTTTAAACAATTGACAAAATACTGAAACTCACCCATAAATATAGATTAAAAGCATGCTGATAGGCTTATTCCCTTTTTTTAATTTGGAAATACTCATGAACTTTGATAACCTTCTCTGATGGCAACAATTAATGTGTTACAGAGTAACTCTTACACATATTGGTAGCAATAAAAAAGCACAGAACACCAACAGAAATTAATTTGGCAGCAAGTAGGTTAATTAGAAAACCACAAAATTTTTCACTAAGTAATTCTATTTCTGGAAATTATCCTATAGATATAAAATAATACTGCACGGTATTACATATGGACTAGATGTATGTAAGGCATTGAATATTTCCTTTCTCCCACCCCAAATTCACGTATCAAACCCTTAATCCCCATGTGATAGAGTTCAGAAGTGGGTGTCTGGGAGGTATTAAGTTATGGGGGTAGAACTCTCATAAGAAGTCAGCAGTCTACAGTCAAGGAAAACAGTCCCCACAGTAACACGACCGTGCTGTCCTGGCTCCCTGACCCCAGATGAAATAAATTTGTATTGTTCACAAGCCATGCAGCCCATGGAGCTGAAAATAGCAGGTGGAATGGACACAGGCACTGTATTCTTGCAGCATTTGTAGTTCACTGCCAAAGATTAGAAGTAACCTAATATTCATCAATGGGTGGTCAATTAAATAAATTATGCATCTATGTACTGAATTTTGTGCAACCATCAAACAGATTATTAACTATGGAATGTTTAACCAAATCAAAACTGTTAAGTAAATGGAAATTCAGTGGTAGGTTGTGAGCTGAAAGTGCACAGAGAAACCCGGCTATGCACATGTGTGCAGAGGGCTGAAATGACGGGGGTATTTATGAGGAGTTGAGTGACAGAGCAGATGTCAGGATGCAGGATAGATTGTACTTGCACTGGGCTGCTATGACTTGAGGTCATCTTTTGGAATTTTCACCTACTCCTAACACACAAGATGATATATCAGGTGTGTTTACTACATTGTTCTGATGAAAGATGATGCTGTGTACTTCCATTCCCAACATCTTGCCTTTAGATGATCCTAGTGAGCCTTTTACAAACTGACTGCCAATAAGTTATGTGTGTCACTCGAGGAACACAGCGAACTCTACAATGAGACACTAATTCTGTCACCAAGGATAGACTCAGAATGCCTCGTAATTAAACTATGAAATTTTCCAATGCATGGAATGTAAGTTGGATACTGAGTAAGAATAAATTCACCTACCACTTTGGAAGGTGGCAGAACGCAAGTTTTCCTAAAATACTGATTTTGAAATACGAAACACCCTCTACTGTAGTAAATGCTGAGACTAAGGTAGATATTGCATACTCTGCAATTCTGGCATTTAGCGGGTGAGCCAAAAATATGTTCAAAATTAAGCTCTCTACTGCTTAAAGAGGAATCAATTAAATGTTAAAATAACAAATAAATAGATGCATGGAGCTATTAAGCTATAAGAACTAGTTTCTCTTAGAAACTCATTTTGACACCAAAAAAAAGCCACCAGTGACCTTGAATTCATGATCAGTTACTGTGAAATTTGTCCTTGACTAATCCCAAAATACTATTTAAAAGAAAAGGAAAATTTGCACTTATAGGATTAATTGCTGAGCATGACTATCATTTCCTTGGTGTTTAACACAGTGGTGAACTTCATTTGTGCTCCTTAAGTAATCTGTGAATTCTTCACTTAAACACACAAATTTTTAAAGAAGGGATGTACACGTCTCTCATTTAGATTAATCAGCCATCTGATAGTACCCTAAAATATTCAGCAAAAAACACTTCCTTTCACAGCGTTGGTATTTTCATCAAGTTCTTCTGCCAACTAGGGTGAGCAGTGTCAGTCCCAAGCTGCGGCTTGGATAGAAAGCCAGCCAGCTGTTTGGCCCTGTTGTATACAGCTTAGCTTCCTAACATTATTTTTCCTCTTTCTTCCTTTAATCCACTGTCCTTAAAAACAAGTCATAATGATATTTTCACTAGCATGTTGCTATATAATTTTAAGTTTACTGGGTAACTTAACATACATCCTGATTCCTATGGGGTGACAACTGGGGGTAGTGTCTGTCTTCAAGGAAGATGACAAGCACCATCCCCGAGACCACCATGGCCTTGTTGAATGGCCCTGGGAACTCTAGGGCAGCCCAGTGCTTCTGAAATAGTTTCTATTACAGACGTGTTGGCAGGTGTCTGTTCACGCTGTCACGGGAATTCGCTCCAACAGAAAATGTCTGAATACAATTATCAACTGGCTTCTGAGCTTTTAAAATTTTCTCTAAAAAAGAGTTTTTACTGATAAATAAAAGGAAAAACTCAGTAGAATGCCATTTCTTTCTTTTGGTTACCAAATGTCTACACCAATATTATACTCAAGTTACCTAAATTATATTGTTACTAGTTCATACTATTCTTACTAGCACAGTATGTATCATATTTTCCTTGCAGAAGGATATCACTTGTATTTCTCTGTTGCATTTTCACTTTAAAATAAATGTAAATATATTTTATTGAACAAATAATCTGATTTGTTTAATAAACAAATATTATTTTAAATATTAATATTATATGGTTATATAATATGATTATAAATCCTTATTATATGATTATATCTATTATCAGTGACTGGAAGTGACAAAGTCCCAACTCCTTCCTGACAATACAAGTTTATTGCAGGAATGCGTGGAAGGTGATCGAAGACTGTTGAAAGATCATTAAGTGCTAGAAACTTTGAAAAGAGAGCTTGAAAAGACAAAATTAAAATGTAGCGTGCTCTCTTAACACATTTTCAAAATCCCATTTGTATGATTAATTTCTAAGAGGTGCTAATTAAATTAGTACAAGCATTTGAAAGTGAAACTGACCAGAGGATTTACAACAACAAATCCATATTTGCAGGGGAAGATTAGCTGTCTATTCGTGTGGTCAAATAATGCATATATAAATGAGTGGATAAGATATCCACAAACCTCCTAAATATAACCACACTCCCGTGGTCTTACTTCAGAGAGGGGAAAGAAGCTGAAGAAGGTAACTTTGGAAACAGGCCTACATAGTTTTATTTTCGACTATGTAAGAAACGAAGTACGGTGTATCGGGAGAACAGAATTAAGCTGGAGGAAGCCTAGGTCAGTGCAGTAACTCGCCCTACTGTGTCTAGCCTGGGGAAAAAACTTGGCATTTAACTGTGAGTGTGAATGGTAAACAGGTACCTCTGGGGTACTGTTTGGTACTTCTCTGCTGTCCTGCTATTCAGAGCTTCTTCTACTCTCCTTTACCAGTATCCTTCACGCTGTTACCTAAAATGAATCATTTTCACTCCTTGCCATAATTGATCTAGCAGCAGCAAACAAAACTGCTGATTATTCCTCTGACTTCCAAAACACAGTGTCCTGGCTTCACTTTTGCTTCTCTGGTTTTCCTTCATCTTTCAATACTACAATTAAGTGTCCCTTATCTAAAGTGCATTGGGTCAGAAGTATCTTAGAACTGAAATTGCCATGTTTTAGAATATTTAAATGTGTATGAAGAGTTATCTTCAGGACAAGACCCAAACTCCATGTGATACCTCATAGCACATGATACATATAAAAAGCTATCTTTTTATAATTGGAATATTTGTGTTTAGACAGAAATCCCTCACATGAGGTCAGTGGTGGGAAGATTTCCACATGGTATATCATATGGGTTAGCTGTATTGACTTCCATTTTGGAGCCTTTCAGGCTTTGGATTTGTGGCTTGGAGATGCTCAACCAGCACATTAGTTTTTCCCTAGTTTTTTAAC